CCTTTGTCAATGGGCCATTAAGGCCTGGGCCAGTCCGTTCTACATAACAAAGATCTACCTCCTGCAGACAGAGCCATAGTAGGAATTGCCCAAAGCCCTTTCATTACATCATCACCCAGCAAGGCTCAACCAAGCTTGGGATTCAAAAACACAACCTACAAAGCTACCCCATGGGAGTCTGACAACCAATCAGAACACAAGCTCAAATCCAAAAGCCCAGAGAGGGCATAAAACTCAGGCGCTCTCAGCATCTCTGCCCTTTTTTTCTCTTCACCCAAGATCTTCAAGGCATGTGATCCTGTCCACCATTAAAACCATCTTTCCAAGCAGCCGCCATGTTTCCAGGGTCTTTCTCCCCACTTGGAACTGAACCAGTGGTGAAATCCAAATTTTTTTACTACCGGTTCTGTGGGCGTGGCTTGGTGGGCGTGGCTTGGTGGGCATGGCAGGGGAAGAATACTGCAAAATCTCCACTACCAGCCCACTCCAGGGGAAGGATACTGCAAAATCCCCATTCCCTCCCCATTCCTGAGGAAAGGATATTGCAAAATCTCCATTCCCACCCCACTCTGGGGCCAGTCAGAGGTAGCATTTGCCTTTTCTCCAGAACCTGTCAGAACCTGCTGAATAGCACCCCTGGGTTCTCCTGCTTGAGCAAGGGGCTGGACTAGAAGACCTCCAAAGTCCCTTCCAGCTCTATTCTAATCTAATATATTGTGAGACTCTAAGTATGCATATATAGCATTGTATTAGGATTTGTAGTGGTATTTGCTGGTTCTCCGAACTGCTCAAAATTTCCGCTACCGGTTCTCCAGAACCTGTCAGAACCTGCTGGATTTCACCCCTGAACTGAACCCAGAAGGACATTTCTTCCAACAATTCCAACAGGCCAGCTGCAAACTTGTGAGTGGAAATATAAATACACACTTCGTTGTTGTTCAGTCGCTTAGTCATGTCTGACTCTTGGTGACCCCCATGAACCTCAGCATGTCAAGCCCCCCCTCTACTCTACTATCTCGTGGAGTTTGCTCAAATTCATCTTCATTGTGTCAATGTTCGATCTAACCATCTCATCCTCTGCCATCTTCTTCTCCTTTTCGCCTTCAATCTTTCCCAACATCTTTCTAATGAGTCCAATGAATGAATCAACATAGATTTGATTTAAACCATGGCTAAAGAGAAACAGCTAAAGGAGAGCCATCAGAAACTGCAGAGACATCATGAAATTGTGTTTTGCAATCAAAGTTCCACCTCTTTCAATAATAACTGTGATTTTCCCCCCCCTTCTTCTACTGGGTAGCTAGGTAATTTAGGAAAAGCAAGTAGTTAATTTTACATATTTCAATAAATATTAGTGGCATCATAATCCCGTCATAGCTCTTGCTTCAATTAACTGACATTACTTTCAATAGATTTTTGAGTGGATTTTTTTTTTTCTGAATTAGCTGACTTTTTCCTTGTCTTTCCACTTGACTGTGCATTTCATTTTGATGGAGTAGCTTAAAAAAACAATTCAAACTCTAGAAACAAAATTAAGCAAGCAAGCAAATATTAAGAAAATAATTGTCGGTTGTGTAATGCAGAAGACTAAAGACTTAATTTGGGTGGGTTCTGCCCAATATTTGCTTACAGTTTTACATCTTGGAATATTTCATGGAGGAAAAGGATTAAAACATAGCAGAACTACTACTACTACTACTACTACTACTACTACTACTACTACTACACAGGTAAGAAGCAACATTAACCAGACAGGATCAAGAATATATTACAAGGCATTTACTAAAATAAATTGTTTAAGAAAAAAAAACTAGTTGGGCATATTATAAGAATGTGGTTAGAATGTAGTACTGAAGACTACTTCTGCTGACAGCCAGCTGACAGCAGTTTGATCCTGACTGGCTCAAAGTTGACTCAGCTTTCCATCCTTCCAAGGTGGGTAAAATGAGGATCCAGATTGTTGGGGGCAATAGGCTGACTCTGTAAACTGCTTACAGTGCGGTGTAAAGTACTGTGAAGTGGGATATAAGTCTAACTGCTATTGCTATCTTCCTTCCTTCCTTCCTTCCTTCCTTCCTTCCTTCCTTCCTTCCTTCCTTCCTTCCTTCCTTCCTTCCTTCCTTCCTTCCTTCCCAGTAGTTAGAATGCAGTGTTGCAGGCTAATTCTGCCAATTTCCAGCAGTTCGATCCTGACTGGCTCAAGGTTGACTCAGCCTTCCATCCTTCCGAGGTTGGTAAAATTCGGACCCACGTTGTTGGGGACAACAGGCCCACTCTGCAAAACTGCTTAGAGAGGGCTGTAAACCACTGTGAAGTGGTATATCTATATCTAAGTGCTATTGCTATTATTTATTAAATTTCTGCCAGCTTAAAAATGGTTTGGAGCAAATATCTTAGATTTCATGTAAACATAAATGCAGCAGTTCTCTGTTACTCATTAAACCAAGCTTCTGCATAAGTCTGCAAAAATAATAATAAGAAGACAACAAAGGTAGTAGTAGTAGTAATAGGTGACTTGGGTGCAATCCCAAAACACTGGGACATCATCGGCATTGACAAATTCACTATCAGTCAATTGCAAAAGGCAGCTTTACCTGGAACAGCTTACATCCTGCCACGATACTTTTAACACTATCAAGCATCACCATCAGTCTATCCCAGGTACTTGGGAAGGACTCGATAGGTGTACAAAATATCTGACTGACTGTACAACGAATCATAATAAATACCGTGTTTTCCCAAAAAGAAGACCCTGTCTTATATTTTTTTGAACCCTGAAATAAGAACTTGGCCTTATTGCCATGCGCTCAAAAGCCCAATTGGGCTTATTATCAGGGGATGTCTTATTTTGGGGGAAACAGGGTAGTAAGGTGTTAGGTTCATGTGAGGTCCAAAGCACTTGCTTCTGTCTCTGTGTGTGTATGTGTAAAGAAGCCAACATTTGCTGTTGCATGCAACTAGTGTGGAACTCATTTCTAAATTCTACCTATTGTATATTTGCTTGATAAACTTGCTTATTAAAACAGTGTACAATTACATAATAGGAACATTTACAGTTCCCTTTTTTTTATTAAAGATTTTTTTTTTAAGAAGGAAGATTAAAAACTGAATATTTACAATTGCAGGCCTTTTTATTGTTTTGTTTTTCTTTGGGGTGGATTTCAGCAGGCCTGCAAGTCAATAATTCAGAATTTACTACAGACGGACAAAATAAACATTTGATAAGGAAGCCAGAGCAAAGTTAGCTTCAAGGTACTGACACTGATTTGGAAAACTTAGCCAGGGGGTTTGTGGGCACTTCGTTATGTGCACCAGCCTGAAACAATAATTGTTAAGATTTATTGGGTCAATTAAGAATTCAGCTAAATAGACTCACCGGTTCCCTTCATAATGGTAATCCTATTTGTTCACCACCCTTGTTATTGGATGCTGTAAAGGTATAACAAGCATCTAACGAAGGAAACACAGTTCAGAGATATATTTATAATGCTTGGATCATAGATTCAGGAGTCTAGCCAACCTTTATCAACACATCCTGCCATTACCTTCACATGGGAATAAGTGGGAAATCCATCACTTCCGTACAATCAAAAATTACTAAATCATTATCATCAAGCTTGACAGAGCTGAATAAAAACTGTCATCTTTACATTTCGATTAAAGGAACGATTCTCAGTCTTTTGGTCTTTTCAATCTATGAATTTGTTTTTAAATGAAGGTGCAAAAAATGATATTTCCTTCCTATAGATTTTATAAGGGGAAAATAGTTTCTACTACTCTTTCTTAATCAGGCAGTAGTCTTGTCTATTGAGTTTCAGATTCAAACTACAGTTGGTTCTTTTTAAATCTATCTTGAAATGCCTTTTTTTTAAAAAAACGAATTGCACTTTTTAATATAATTATTTTGGGAAAGCATACTGTTTGTATTTGCTAAGGTAACCCCTGAATATTTCACCCTTTTCTCTAGGGAAAGAAAAAAAAACTCTTTTATTTATCAATTCTAGTCAGTTGTTTTGTCCCATAAAAATATGGGACAAAATTGCATTTTGTTTTATTAATCTTAAATCCAGATATTCTAACATGTTTTCCTGAAAATAAGACCCTGTCTTATATTTTTTTGAACCCCAAAATAAGCGCTTGGCCTTATTTTCAGGGAGGTCTTATTATTTTGGGGCGTGTGGAGCAAGACAGGGATCCTCTTGACGTCTGACCTGATTTCCAGCTCTGTCTCCCTAACCCTAACCAGAGGAAAAGGCGGGGACCAGCTGGGCATGTGTTTAGTTATTTTTGGGGAGGGCTTATTTTCAGGGGGGGTTATTTAGTGCATGCTCTCAAAAGCCCGATTGGGCTTATTATCAGGGGATGTCTTATTTGGGGGAAAACACAGTATAAAACTCTTACTTTTTTCATGTATCCTCTTCAATTGGACTTCCAGTATCAACACCACATCGTTGGGATTTTTTTTTTAAAAAAAATAGCATCATGCAAATTAGCCATTCCACTGCAAATATATTTCTTCCCTCTTGCCCTAACCTTGCATAAAACTATGCATTTGTACAAAAAGTTCGCAAATTTACTTTTTGAGTGCCTGGGGATGGGTGAGAAGAGAGACAGTTTGTAGACTATTTTATTTTTTCATCCAAACAACATCTAGTAAAATTGTCTTCAGTGGTAAATCCCTAAGGATGTGCTTATAAGCATTCTAGAACAAAGTCGCATCATTGCTATGCACCACAACAACGATGTTTAGAAGAAAAGGCAGCATTGCTTGAAGCTTTTTTTTTTCTGAACAGCAGAAATAACCTCAAGACAGAAGGGAAAACAAAAGTAGAGGTAGATGGACTGACTGGAATTGAATAGCACCATGGGTTCTTTGTTGTGTGTTTGTACAATAGTTTTTAATGGCACTGTTTGCTGCAAGTTGGAATCTGGGCTTCGAAATATTTGAGCTTTAAATAGAAGCATTCTTTGGAACAGCGATTGCTTTCTTATTATTTCAGCCACAAGTGCGAACTGAAGTCCATCATGTGGAGAAGATTAATGGGGAATCAGGAACAGACAGAAAAAGCAGGCTCTACTAATTTGGTGGCTTTCAGGTAGGTGACTCAAGAGGTGGGATGAGGCTTGCAAAAGCTCATGTAGATCTCTCCTAGCAGCCGGCAGGACAAATAGATGATGCGACTGCCATTTTTGGTGCGAGAGTCAATTTTGACGTTACTTGGTTGTTCTCTGCAGGGATTAAGAAGAATAATTTTTGATGTCTCTTTTGTTTCCTGTAAAGTTTTTTTTTTTTTTTAAATTTGATTTATATGCCGCCCTTCTCCGGAGACTCAGGGCAGCTTACAATGCGTTAAGCAATAGCCTTCATTCTTTTGTATATTTATACAAAGTCAGCTTATTTCCCCCACAAACTGGGTCCTCATTTAACCTACTTTAGAAAGAATGGAAGGCTGAGTCAACCTTGAGCCTTGGAGAGATTCGAACCAGCAGAAATTGCAGGCAGCTGTGTTAATAACAGGGTGCATTAAACCACTGTACTATCAAGGCTCCTATTTGTTTCATGAGTGAGGGTTTCTTCACCTGTTCACTGAATTCAGATTCTGAATTTAATGGTGGTCTCTGTTGAACATTTCCTACCTTATATTCCTTGCAATGGAGTAGATATTGAAAAGCATAATAACAGGAAAATACCAACAAAAGCACTTTCCCTCCCCCCCCCATTTTTTGTTATCCTATTGACCACTAGAATGTCAGAATTTGTTGCAGCACACACAAGCAGACTATGAAGCAGGATTCAAATTATATAAGAAAGTTCTTTATATACAATATCAACACATAAAGCATACAATACCCTTGTAGGTTTTTCCACGTTGTAGAGAAGAGAAATAGCAAGTACAAACACAGCACAAAATGGAAGCACAAAATGGAGAAGGCAAAATGGAGGAGAGAGAGAAGCTAGTGCCCTCAAGCTTATATACGGAACAGTTAAGCCACGCCCAGGCTCCAAACTGTCTCTTATGCTCCCATACAACAAACCATATGTTTCAGTTACCAAACAGCCCTCATTGGCTGACCTGTTGCTATGCCCTATTCCAGTTCATGAATATACTCTGACATAGAAGCATTAAGAATGGAGACACAGAACAGATTTAGGACAACTCTCCATGGCCAACTTGACATGGCCATGTAGAGCAGCAGTTTCCAAGGAAGGAAGGAAAACATTCCAGAAATTGGGATGGAGGGGAGAGTCAAGAAGCAATCCAACCCAGAGCTGAATTGGAGGCCAAGAAAGAGAATTTGGACAGCAACGCCCCACAATTTCCCAACATCTATCTATAGGCAGGGAAAAATAAAGGTTAACTCAGGGAAGATTCTGTCTGCTATGTCTTAACATATAAAGAACTGAAATCTGGATGAATAGTTCCACATCATTGTTGCCTGAATTTGGTAACAGCTTTATTATTATTGTTTATTGGTTTATTGGTTCGATTTATATGCCGCCCTTCTCTGGAGACTCAGGGTGGCTTACAATGCGTTAAGCAATAGCCTTCATACTTTTGTATATACCTGCTTAGTAGGGCTTTTGCCCCCCCCCCCCAGCGGTGTTCTTTTTTTATACAAAGTCAGTTTATTGCCCCCACAATCCGGGTCCTCATTTTACCTACCTCGGAAGGATGGAAGGCTGAGTCAAACTTGAGCCTGGTAACCTTGAGCCTGGTGAGCTCCCTACAATTTCCCAGGATCTACCTGTAGTCTGGGAGAAGTAAGGGTTTAGTCTGGCAAGATTCTGTCTGCTATGTGTAAGCAAATAAAGAACTGAACTCTGGATGAAGTGTTCCACATTGTTCTTGGATTTAGCCTTACAAGTGGTGACCTAAGCTCTTCTTTTTTTTTTCTCCTGCTTTTTAAAATGCATCGATTTTCTACAGAGTTTCAAGGCAATTCTGAAAATACTTCTAAATCCTGTGGAAAAAATGAAAATACAAAATATGATCCATCTCCGTGCTGTTCAGATTCTTCAATAGAAGAGGAGGAGGAAGAGAAGGAAGGATTAATGCAAAAAAGAATTACATAAGAGAGGTAGGTGACATTTTAGCTCTAAGGAGAAAAAAACATCTCTTTGGAAGAGTATTTAATAAATAGCAGGTGAGAAAAGCCAGATTATACACTAAGGCAGGGGTCGGCAACCTTAAACACTCAAAGAGCCACAAAGGTCCTAACCAGAAGCCCCCCATTCAATTCTGGAGTCGACCGGAAGTCTGGTTCCCCCACCATAGAGTCTCCTCCTAGGGCGGCATCCTTTTTCCTACGCTGACTGGAAGCCCAGTTCCCCCACCATAGAGTCTCCTCCTAGGGCGGCATCCTTTTTCCTCTACCTGTCCTAACTGAAAGCCCTATCAATTGTGGAGCCAACTGGTGACAAGGAGCTGCAATAGATAAATGAAAGAGCCATATGTGGCTCCTGAGCCCCTGGCTCAGCTGATAAAGGGAGGAGAAATTGTGGCTCAGAGGTTAATACAACTGCCTAATATGCAGGCAGCCCAAGTTTGAATCCAATAAAGAAAAAAGAAAAAAAAACAGCAGGGAGATAGCAAAGAAAGACCTTCTGTGAAATAAAGTCCCTAATGGGGGGAAAAACAGAGAAATAGAACATGAGCGTGACAAAGCGAAGTGTGAATGCTACAACTTTGTTGTCCATGATGGCCCAGGTCTTCTGGAAAACACTGTGGGGTGAAGCAGAGGTGAGAAATACAATTTCTCTTTATGGTTTTGAAAAGGGAGATTTCATCTGAGAGGTTTTACACAGAGTTCTCCTTTCTATAAAGTCCCCTGCATCAGGAACAAGATTTTTCCTGAATATTGTTTTTCAGAACTTTAGTTGACTTGGAAGAGCAAATAAAAGAATGCCCTGAAAAAAACAAAGCAAATCCCCCATTTATGACCGCTGAAAAACTGAGAAATGGATCTATCTCATTTTTTTTTTCAATTCAAGAGCTACTACATAATAAAATTGTTTTCTTTATTTTTCTTACCTAAACTTGAACTGCATTTGCTCAGCTCCTATGCTCGCATTCTTTTCATTAGAGATAAAAATGTTGCATTTTTCTGTTGCTTATCACTCTTGCCATCCCCATGAAAGAGCAAACATACAGTAGTTTTCCTGCAATCTCTTTCTGCATTAAACTATATCTGTTGAGGGTAAACTCTGAAGTTAACTGTAGATTTCACCTTCAAAATGTATTAAAATGCATATTTTCTCTCAAATTACACACACATTTCTCCATCAGAAATGAATGTTTAAGTGCATATTTTAATGTCTGAATTGTTGAGAATTGCATTGGCATATCGGAAATATGACAATTTGTTATATTGCAAATAGCATTTTACTCCAAAAGAGATCAGGGTGGGAAAATTTACAAACACTGAAATCCTTAAATAATGATGTGCTCCTTCTACAAATAAACTGAAATTCATACAAACACACACACACACACACACACACACACACATCTCTATCTATCTATCTATCTATCTATCTATCTATCTATCTATCTATCTATATCTATCAATCTATCTATCGATCTATCGATCCATTGATAGGGATAGATTAGAGATAGAATAGAGATAGATAGAGATAGAGATAGATGGATAGATGGATAGATGGATGGATAGATCCATCCATCCATCCATCTCTCTATCTCTATCTCTATCTCTATCTATCTCTATCTCTATCTCTATCTATCTCTATCTCTATCTCTATCTCTATCTCTATCAATCGATCTATAGATAGATAGATGATAGATAAATGAGAGAGAGGGAGAGAGAGAGAGAGAATGGGAGAGAGGGACGGAGGGAGGGAGAGAGAGAGATGATAGATATTGTATTCTTCAATCCTTCTCAGTTCCCCAGAGTCATATTTGTAAGACGAGCTACCATATAAATCACTTTAAATTTAAATTTCTTCCGGACTGTTCAAGTACAACTGGCAAATTTCCAACCAGCTAGTTCTCTTCAAAGCCAGGTAATCTAATAGCCATTTTTGCATCTGGTGGCAACAGCTGTGTTAGTTACAAATTTGCATTGAAAAGCACTAATGTTGGAGGACTTTTCAGATAAATAAATTGTCTTTGTGCATATATTTTCCTCGGTCGCAGGGAACGGTCACTGAGAGGAAGAAGATGTTTCGCTTCTCATCCCAGAAGTTTCATTGGTTCTGATTAGATGGTGGGGGAAGGGATGGATGAGAAACATCTTCTTCCTCAAGGAAAAAACATAGTCCAGTTTTGAGAAAAGCACCTATGAGACAACTATGAGCTGGTTGACTGAGAATCTCCACTGACATCAATGAGAAGAGATTTCCAGTAATACTCCATACATACTTACATGATGTGCTATCATCACTTCATGTGCGCATGCCTTTCAAGCATGCACCTGGCCTCGAAAATGTGGCTAAATATGATGGTATTACACCGGGGCTGTGGGTGCACCCACAGTCGCCGCTACCAGTTCGCCCGAACCAGTCTGAACTGGCTGAATACCACCAATGGCTATCATGCATGTGAAGACACAGAAACATCTTTTATCACCACTTCCCATAGTAGGTGGTCCTGCTGCCACTATTTATTTCCTGAATAACTTTGCTTCTGGTTACTATCATAGCCTTCCCATACAATAACCCAATTGCCCCTTTTACAAAGAACAAGATTTTTCCCGGAACTCTGGATCTTGATTAATAATGTAATGATAATTATAGAGCCCACTCACAAGAGAAACTAGGGAGTTTAGTATGCTGAGAAATCAATTCATCAGCTTGAAGTAGGAAAAGACTTCAAGAGATATAGGGTGGTTTGAATTTAATGTGGTGGGAGGAGCTTTGTGTATTTGCATGTACACATGGGCATAAGTGTGTGCTTCTGTTTTATATGTACGCGATGTGTGTAGCCCATGAATTATCATCAAGCATCATGGGAATCTCCTAAAAATAAAAAAATAAAAACAACCACCTTCTATTCTTAAATTATCTGATGAGGCAGAAGAATCGAAGAATCGAATCGAATCGAATTGAAGAATCGAATCGAATTGAATCAAATCGAATCGAATCAAAGAATCGAATAAAAGAATCAAATTGAATCAAATCAAATCAAAGAATCGAATCGAATCGAATCGAATCGAATCGAATCGAATCGAATAGAATAGAATAGAATAGAATAGAATAGAATAGAATAGAATAGAATAGAATAGAATAACAGTTGGAAGGGACCTTGGAGATTTTCTAGTCCAACCTCCTGCTTAGACAGGAAATTTCAGACAAATAGTTATCTAATCTCTTCTTAAAAACTTCCAGTGTTGGAATTTACAACTCCTGGAGGCAAGTTGTTCCACTGATTAATTGTTCTAACTGTCAGAAAATTTCTCTGTAGTTCTAAGTTGCTTCTCTCCTTGATTAGTTTCCACCCATCACTTCTTGTCCTGTGTCCAGGTGCTTTGGAGAATAGCTTGACTCCCTCTTCTTTGTGGCAACCCCTGAGATATTGGAAGACTGCTATTATGTCACCCCTAGTCCTTCGTTTCAACAAACTAGACAGACCCATTTCTAGCAACTGTTCTTAAGCCTCATAGGGTCTCATAAGAACTTGCATGTACAAATGTAATGTCTCAGTACTTGATTTATTTGAAGTGACAAGCCTCAAAGAAATGATTTTTCGACAATTCTAAAATCAACTAGATGTTCATTATTAAAAAAAATTGCAACTCAATTGTCTATCAACTTCAAAATGTACAGAATGAGTGAGAAAGAAGTGCAGAAAATGAGAAGGAGGATGTATATAAAGATAAAAGTAAAGTTTTTCATGGCTCAAAGTCAATTGCTGGTGACTACGAAGTTGACAAGATTATCGAGATATTTTGCTATGGTCTCACCTGGGATTTTCTCACTGATTTTCCAGAATATCTAATCAGCTTGAAATTCAGAGGTGGCCTTTTATTCTGGTATTGAGCACATCCCTTCTACTTAAGTTCATATACCCGTGGGTAGTGTTTTCTCTTTTATTTATTTTTAGTGCTAATTAAATTACAAAGGAAATAAGGCAGTCTTGCAGATGAAGCCCATGTGAAATGGTTACATAAAAATCTTCTCTGACTTTAAGAGGTTAAAGAATCTTCTTATGGTATAAGATTCTCACTTGCAATTAATAAACTTAATGTTGATAGCTTATTAATATTACCGATTTACTTATTATTTGATGCATCTTAGAAAAAAAAAGGGGGAGCAGAAAAAGAGAAAAAATAGGAATGGAAAAGAAAAGTAGAAAAAGAGTAACTTCTGTCTTTTTTCTTCTTTTCTTACATTTTATCTTTTGTTGAAACTTAATAAAGTTTTATGAAAAAAAATGATACTTCTTGAATGTGATATAGTTTGAATATAATTCTCTCTCTCTCTCTCTCTCTCTCTCTCTCTCTCTCTCTCTCTCTCTCTCTCTCTCTGCATGTATTTATTATATCTATCTCTCTCTCTTTCATCTATCACTATCTACCTATCCATGAATTTATTCTCTCTCTCTCTATCCATCATCCAACCATCCATCCAATCATCCATCCATCTATCTATCTATCTATCTATCTATCTATCTATCTATCTATCTCTATCATCTATCACTATCTATCCATCCATGAACTTATTCTCTCTCTCTATTCATCATCCAACCATCCACCCAACCATCCATCCATCCATCCATCCATCCATCCATCCATCCATCCATCCATGTATTTATTCTCTCTCTTTCTCTCTCTCTCTATCCATCATCCATCCATCCATCCATCCATCCATCCATGTATTTATTTTTTTTATCTCTCTCCATTATCCATCCACCCACCCACCCTCCCCCCCACCTACGGTATCTATCTATCTATCTATCTATCTATCTATCTATCTATCTATCTATCTATCACTAGTGATCAGACGAACACTATCATCATGAAATATCAAATATCAAGGTTGAATAAAAATATTCCCTATTTTCCTCTTAACTTGATCTCTCTTTATCTTTCTACCCAACTGGCAAATAAGGAGTTCTAT